AAGGGCAGGGCTGCTTCAGCCAAGTCAGTGTGAGCCTGGCTGCCGAGGGAGCAGGACGCTCTCTGGAGCTAGGGCAGGGCTAGAGAGTTAGGCTGGGCCAGGGCGCTCGGACAGCCAGCCGGCCAGCCTGCTAGGCCTGCGGACAGGCCGGCTGGAGAGACACCAATCCCCCGGAAGGGGGGGCTCAGAGCGAGTGACTTGGGCACTGCCGGAGGGCAGTGTGGCAAAGAGAGCAATGCGACTAGAAGATTCCAGAGGGGAAACGCCACGTGAGCGGAGGCCTGTGCGGGCGGAATGGACTGATTCCGGGGACAGATGACGGACCCCTGCTACGGTGGTGAGTGACCCCCTCACAGGATCCATTCACATAAAATGGAGACAAAACTGAGCCAAACCAGGTATCAGATAATTAGTTGAGGCTCATCGCTAATATAAAACTTTTTAATTAAAATTCCATTCTTTAGACTTTCAAAACTTCATTCTCAGCTTCTCTGCTCATGCATCTCAAATTATTTTTTGTGCTTTCTGCTGCCATGACTCACAGTATGCACTATATAGCCGATTACACAGATGTTGTTTGATGGCCACTGGTAAAGAAGGTGGCATTCATTTACTGGACCATTACTGAAAAGTGGCAAATCACGTTCATTCAATGCAAATTAGTATTCAGTGTTGCCCTAAGGAAAATCCAAGACACAATTTGTAACATTCCCCCACCCAAAAATGAGAGTAGTTGAAATGTTGTTTTCTAATCAATTTCCACTGCCTTTTGTTTGTTTTTTAAATGGCTGTCAAATGCCTCTCCAGATTGAATTTTTCCTCAATAGTGATATTGTTTGTACAATAAGAATCACACACTACAACTAAGGTTAATTACATCTTATTTAGTATATACTGTCTATTTTTAATAAATGCTGTAATAAAAATTGGGTTTATGACTGCTACTCATAATACTTTCACAGAGTCTTACATTTAAAATAATTGGTTTACAAGCATTCAAATTTTAGAGAAAAATATCTGTGCCGGCATAAGCAGGTGCAATTTTATTACCACTAATATCATTGTTCCCACTTATGTCAGTGTGGAATTTAGCCCCTGGCCCTTTTGTGTTTACATGCAGACCTAATGCTTTCAAATACATTTGAATAAGTGGCACTGATGGAGGTACTTATAGCTAAAAATGTAGGTAAATGCTGATACTTTTGGCTTCTCTCCAAACATTTTGTTAAACAAGCAAAACATATGGGGCCAGAATGTGTTATCTTTACTTACATTATGTACCACCTTTCTCCATTAAGCAGACCTGAACCAAAGCCTTCTGACATCAGTAGGGATCTTTCCATTAATCTCAGTGGGCTTTGTATCAGGTCCAACGTGAGTGAGGATAGCACATTCTGGCCCATGCTTAGTTACATTTGATTTGTATTAAATGTTGGGTGTATGTAGATATTGGTACCAATTAATTAAGGAACATGTTTATTATTAATAATAATTATAATGTATAGTTTAATAATAATTTATTTTTATTTAATGTAGATTAGTATTTCTAGTTAAAAACAGCTTTTTTAGAACATGTGGAGATGGTCAAAGAATCTTTCCCTGAGCCACTGTTAAGATTATCTGGGCTGTGTCTCTTCAATTCACATCTACCATGTGTAGCTTTCTAGACATTTGAAAAGAGACGGGCTAGCCTTGATGGTGACCAGTTAAAACTGAGGAATGTTTTCAAGCTTGGATGTTTTGAAAGGCATCAAATGTCACATACTTCCTCTCCAATTAGTCTCCTGGAAGGGATGGTCATTTGTAGTTCCACTGGACCAGTCTGCCAAAAGAACAGAGAAATGAATCCAATTTGGCAGCATCCCTCAACTTTTGAGACAAGCCTCCATGTGAATGAGACTCCCTTCTTAATCAAGAAGGGAAAGGGAAATCATCATACCCCAACAAAACAATTGTGTGTGCAAGTTTCTGCTGATGGAGACAGACAACACTGACATACACAGATTTCTCTGAGCCTCACATTTGAGCTACCTGGAGTTGGTCTGATGGCTCCAAGAGTTATGGCAGTCCCTGCTTTTTTCCATCCTACTGCTGAAGTTAGGACAGCAAATACAGACAGAGCCTAGTCAGACATGTGGCCTAACAAATCATTCCTCACATCCATGAAGCTTCACTTACCTCTCTAAGGATTCTGCTTCTTCCATGTTCCTCCTTTGTCCTTTATTGGGAATATTTGGACATGACCTTTGACCCCCTATTCAGTATTGCAAGCTAGAGCTAGTCAAAATATTTCAACTAAGCTTTTTATTTGCTGAAACAGAAGTGGTTTGTCAGAGGTGGGAGAACCCCACCCTAATAGAGCACCCAATAGCTCAGTAGTTTGAAAGCATTCATGGGCTGTTTGAGACCCATGTTCAAATACTTGCTGTAAAGCAGGTGAGAATCCCAATCACCCCTTGTCTATTCAAAGATGTGTGTGTGTCATGTTTTTCCAAGAACAATCTTTCAAAGGTCTCAGTTTTCTTCCTCATCAGAATAAAAACCATTTCCAATCTTCAAACTTGTTCTATGAAACAATTATTGTTTTACAGACAGGTTCCTTGATAACCCTAGCCCCATGGAATGATGGGTGAGGAACTCTAGATTTTCCTCTTATCTCTGGCCTTTTTGCTTTATACATGGGAGGAAATAATTGACTCAGACTGCTTTGGATTAAAGGTGGGGTTTTTTGTATCTTGCTGTCTAGTTCAGGTAATACTTTATTTATTCCTAAAAACAGCAAGGAATAGAGTATTCTCACTATACTGAACGCCCCCCCCCCAAAAAAACCCCTACTCACACCCTCATTGCAGATAACGACCAATACTCTATTACTGAATAAAAAGAAATAATAGTTCACATACAACAAATACAGTAGCCCTACAGAAACACAAATAAAACAAGAATAGAAGTCATCTACCTAGACTGTGTTGCCTCTAACTGTGGCATGGAATAAATAAGACATGGTTGGTAGACTGATGATGGCTGACAAATAGAACAAGCCTGTGTTTGAAATGTTAGATTTATTTCCACTCATTGGGATTATACACTTCAACCTGTGGTGAATTTATTTCCTTCTCATATGTGACACAATAAAAGCAAGGTATCTTTTTATTCATGGACAGGACAATGGCATACAGGTGTTTATTAAATAAAAAAGTAAGCAAATACAGAATGCCAGGGAGGATTGTTTTAAGAAGGGATAGGTATTTTAACTATTAGTACACCGAGAGTACAAAGGGAAAGCCATGGAGAATTATAGGGTAAGGGTTTTTTGGAGATGAGGAGAGATTCCTCCATCTACTCTCTAGTCCTTTGTGTTGAAGTATATTTAACTTGTATGTTTAACTTGTTCTTAAAACCTCCATGGATGGCAATTTCACAGTCTCTCTAGGGCAGGCATGTCCAAAGTCCGGCCCGCAGGCCAATTGCGGCCCTTGTTCCGGTTTAATACGGCCCCACAGGTAATTTGGCAATATCTATCTTTTATGGCCCCCAACGAATCCATATGTATTGAGATGAATACATTATAAAATCTCAGTTAATGTCAGTTGGTCTAAATCAGTTATAAATATATTTGGACACAACATGTATACTTGGTGTTATGTTCCTGTTCATATTTTTTGAACTTAAAAGTTGACAGACAACCTTTATTACCAATAATATGTAATGTACTTTACAATGTTCCTGACATATATTTCAGCTTCCTGGATTTTTTTTTCATCTGGCCTTCAGATATGAAAGGCAGAGTGATTTAACACCTGTTTAGATTTGTCATCCATGTGACGAAATGAAAAGTATGCCGTTTGCAATAAACTTTGCATAAAATAGTTAATTTGCATTTAATTTTAATGGTTCAAAGAATGTCAGGCAAAATGGTCGGCCCTCACGCATATTCACTTCATCAAATCTGGCCCTCTCTAGGGGAAGCCTATTCCAACGCTTAACTATCCTTACATTTAGAAAGATTTTCCAAATATGTTACCTAAATCTCCGTTACTAGAGACTAATCCCTCTATTTTTTGTCATATCTTCCCTGGACATGGAGAGCAATTGATTACTGTCCTCTTTATAATGGCCCTTAACAAAGCTGAAGACTATCATCAGGTTCTCTGTCTTCTTTTTTCCAGATTAAATGTGCTCAGTGTTTTACACTTTTCCTCATAGGACAGGTTTTCCAACCCTTTTATCATTTGTTGCTCTCTGGGCTCTTTCCAATTTGTCCACATTTTCCTGAAGTGTGTGGGTTTGGTTTTTTTGCAACTGCATCACACCATTGGCTCATATTCACTTTCTGATGCACTATCATTCCTAGATTCTTTTCAGCAATACTGGGCTGTGTTTACACTGGCCTCCCTTTCGGAAAAGGGATGCTAATGTAGCACTTTGGAATAGGCAAATCCGTGGGGGATTTAAATATCCCCCGCGGTATTTGCATTAACATGGCTGCCACTTTTTTCTGGCTTGGAGATAAGCTGGAGAAAAGTGCCAGTCTAGACGTGATTCTCCGGAAAATAAAGCCTTTTCCAGAGGATCTCTTATTCCTACTTTCAAGTACTTTATTTTATTTTCTGGAGAATCACGTCTAGACTGGCGCTTTTCTCCGGCTTATCTCCAAGCCGGAAAAAAGCGGCAACCATGTTAATGCAAATACCACGGGGGATATTTAAATCCCCCGTGGATTTGCCTATTCCAAAATGCTACATTAGCATCCCTTTTCCAAAAGGGAGGCCAGTGTAGACACAGCCCTGCTGTTTAGCAATTTATTCCTCATTTAGTAGTTGAACATTTTATTTTTTCCTTCTTAAGTATAGTACTTTACCTTGTCTTTATTGAACTCCATCTTGCTGATTTCAGACCAGTTCTCCAACTTGTCATGGTTGTTTGGAATTCTGATTTTGTCCTTCCCAAAGCACTAGCAACCCTTCTGTGAGGATGGCTAGAGACCCTATCCTAAGGCTAAGGGAGTTGTGGAGCAGTATCAAACCAAAAAGGACCCTCCCATCAGCAGCTGAACAGCATGCTCTAACTAAATGGAGAACCTGCTTTAAAGGACACTGACAGGCAAGTAGGGGAGGAGTGAAGAAGAGACTTGTTGCAGACAGGCAGCAACTTCTGGAACAGAAGAATCTACAAGGGATTCTATGCCAGAGCGGCTGGCTGAGCACCCACGGGCCCATCCTCGTCTCCAACCCACCCACAGCTCCGACCCCCAGTAGCAGCAACATGTCCACCTGTGGCTTTAACCTCCCTCCCACCCCAACAGCAACCTGCCTGCCCACAGGTTCAACCCCCTGGCAGTGGCTTCAACACCCCAGCAGCAACCCACCTGGCTGTGGCTTCAGCATTGTCCCCCTGGCAGCAACCCGCCCACCTGCCATGTGTTCTAAGCCCGAAATGCTGGAAGCAGCCACCCCACAATGCAGCCTCAGCCCCAGCGGCAGCCAACCCCCAGCATGGCCATGGCTGCCAGAGCAGCTGCCTGAGCAGCCACCCCCCAATGTGGCTCCGAGCCATCTCTGGGTACGTCTACACTACAGCGCTAGTTCGAACTAGGCGTTAGTCCTCGTAAAATGAGGTTTACCTAGTTCGAACTAGTAAGTCCACATTGAGTGGACTCTGAACAGGGCTTAATGATGGCCGGAAGCAGCGCCGGCAGGGAATAAAAGGAGGACTTAGAGCATGGAGATACTGTCTCAGGCTAGCCGAGGGTTGCGCTTAAAGGGTCCCGACCCCCACCCCGGACACACAGTTCTAAGGGGTGCCCCGCTTGCAAAGAAGTTCTGGCTTGGAGTGCCCTGAGTGCCCACACTGGGCACATCACACCACTCGGCCATCAGCCCGGCTGCACTTGCCGCAGGCTGCCATCTGGGGAGAGGGAGTAATTGGGGGGCTGCAGGAGAGCTTCCACCCCCAGAAGCCCGCAGAGCCAGCCCAGTCCTCCCCATCGGGGGCTCGTACCCCATTCCTCCCTCACCTCCTTCCACTTGCCCTTCCCTAGCCCCCCTTCTTATTGATGTACAAAATAAAGATAACGTTTCTTCCAACATTGACTCTGTCTTTATTGAACAAAACTGGGGGAGACTGGGAAAAGGAGGTGGGAGAGGGGAAGATTAAGGCTGGGAGAGGGGAAGGCAACTAACATGATCAGGGGTTGGGAACAGGTCCCAGATGAAGAGAGGCTACAGAGACTGGGACTGTTCAGCTTAGAAAAGAGGAGACGGAGGGGGGACAGGATAGAGGGCTCTAAAAGCAGGGGTTGGGTGGAGAGGGTGCATTCAGAAAAGTTCTTCCTGAGTTCCCATAAAGAAGGACTAGAGGACACCAAAGGAAAGGAATGGGTAGCAGGCTTGAAACTAGTAAGAGAAAGTTGTTCTTCTTGACAAAGCAAATAGTTAACCTGTGGAACTCCTTGCTGCACGAGGCTGTGAAGGCTACAACTAGAACAGAGTTGAAAGGGAAGTGAGATCAAGTCATGGAGGTTGGGTCCATGGAGTCCTATTAGCCAGAGGGGAGGAGTGGTGTCCCTGCCCAAAGTTTGTGGAAGGCTGGAGAGGGATGGCACGAGACAAATGGCTTGGTCATTGTCTTCGGTCCATCCCCTCCAGGGTCCCTAGGGTTGGCCGCTGTGGGCAGACAGGCTACTGGGCTAGATGGACCTTTGGTCTGACCCGGGACGGCCATTGTAAGCTCAGGGCTCAGGGTCGGGGGGCTCAGTGGACCCCCTTGATTTTCATGCACACCTGGTCCTGGGTGGCCAGGCTGGCAGCTCTCCTGCCCTAG